GTGGCTATGAAGGCTGACAGCTGATGGTCATACCAGACCACGCAATCAGCCCAGTATGTGTGTGTGTGTGTGTTATGTGTCTAGTGGCTGATTAGTGAGCTGAGATTCAGGTGGCAACGGCTCCCCTAATCCGCTGGTTCTGTAAATCCTGTTGTGTGTCAAGGAACGCTTCACGATTTTGTGTGTCATCCTTAGTACTATCTCTTAGGCAACATTAATCTTGTTATCTGCTACTTGTTGTCATTTTGGTACTACTATTGCTCTTGTTGTCGTTGGTGTTACTAGTACTATTAACGGCAGTCATAATAACAACAATCGCACCTTCAGCATAGCTATTTAGCATCAACACAAGCTTCTCCACCGAAAGCCTTTAGCATTCCCTGAAGATCTCTTGCGCAACCCACGCTACAATGTTCACCTTCAACTTGTTTCCTTTTTTAGCTCCGCCAACTGACGCATTTACTAGACACACCATCAGTCCAGTGTGTGCGGTGTGTGAAGTGGCAGGTGAGTATGAGTAGGAGCTCTCAGTTGATGGCTGAATAGTTACCCCGTCTCTGAAGGGTGATGGCCTAGGCTAAGTGCAGGGCTCTTCCCTCACCCTTCTGAGATTTAAGGATTGTATGCGTACGCAATGCCACGCCTAAGCAAACCATGGCCCCTGCGGCCTGGTGTGCGCTGGCAGTTTTCTTGGATCTGATGCACTGTCGGTGTATGCGCTTGCGCTCCCACTGAGTTTACAGGCCGTGTATATGGCTGCCCAGTTAATTATATTTTCCCTCTCTGATCCAGAGGAGTAAAAATCGGCTGGTGGCGCCTAGTGAAGTTGCGAGCGGTGTGATGGCTGTCACGCCCTCTTCTGTATAGGTGCAAAGGCCACTCAGCTAGTAGTTCTGTGCTCATCTTACGAAACTGACCGTTCTGAGCGTAGTAGCACGCTTAAGGGCGGCCTCGGTCGCACCAACCACCTGCGCCCTCCCCCATCTCCAGTCGTCTCGACTATTGTCTTGACATCGGGTACAGATGTGGGAGTGGTGAGAGAGCGGAGTAGATCCTGCTTTCAGCTTGCTGAAGCTCGCGGTGGACATCGTCCAGAGCAAAGGTCGAACTGTCGTGGGGCCAGTTCGTACTAAGGCGCGCACCGACGGGTTCGCTGGCCCTGTCAGCCACTGCGCCTACTCCACATCAGACAACCAACCGACTAGGACGGTGGCCTGATGGGAGAGATAGTGAGGCAGACGGTTCAGGTTTTGATAAATGCATAGGACAGAATACACACTTAGGGGCAATCGACTGAGAACACTGTTAATCGTGAAGTATTCGCCACTATTTCAAAGATGATTTGAAATTCATCGTAATCAAAGCTCAGGAATACTTATAAAGAAATTTGATGAAAGGAAAGTTCTCTTGAATGCTATTCAGTATCAGTATATTGAGGGATAAGTAGGTAAATTTTCTTTGAGTTCCCTACTTGTACATATGTGTAATGGTAGCAGAAAAATTGTATCTCAGACTGTTGGCGAGGCCAGTTGTCCTGAGTCATGGGGTGGAAAAATAGGAGCAGACAGTGAAAAAACTCCTAAGGGATTTTTAGGAGAAAAACGTCGCTCTTTTGGGGGTAATGCGGGGGATTTGGGAGAAAAAAGGGGTTCCAACGGGAGGGGCGTGGGGGGAATGTGTGGGATTTAGGAGAAAAAGGGAAAAAATAGTTTAGTTCAGTTTATTATTCACTGACTGGCCTGTCAACACGTGACCTGATGAAAATTGTTATTACCGTGATGGCTCTATCGATGCAATCCAGCGAAAACTATTTTGCCCTTATCAAACATATCTCAGCGATTTTTAAAGTTTCGGGCTTTTCCGCTTTGTAAAAAGTGGCAATTCTAAATATAATATGCCCTTTATGCTTCCAATTAGTCTAAATGAGAAGAAGACGACTCGATCGATGGGACAATACTTTTATTCGCCTGGCGTTTCGAGATCCGTCGCGGATTCATCAT